CCTCCAATTCTTAGGGGGATTTGTTGGGATGAGTCCTGAATCCTCCAAAATCTTTAGAGGGATGGCCTCCAACCTAAGAGCGATGGCCTCCAACCTGAAGGGATTTGTTGGGATGACTCGGATGATTCCCTAAGTTTCAAGGAGTTTTGCCGACTAAATCAGAGACCAGAAGAAATCCGCAGAGTTTCTTGGATGTGCTATTGGATGGTGATGGTGGCTGAAGACATCCGTCAGTTTCTAATGGGCCAGGGGCTTGAACATCAGGGCCATCCCAGGGGCTTGGATCGCCGATGGAATTTGGATGGACCCCTGTTGGCCCGAGGGATGGACATCCTAGGTCTGAAGAAGGTCGAGGTACGCAAGGCCAGTAGCAACAGAAGATGATTGGGATTGATTGGGAGTTCCATTCCCATGAAATTCCTTTAACCTACATCAGCTGTTTGAGATTCATAATTGTACTCCACCAAAAGAACAACAACAACAACAACAACAACAACAACAACAACAACAACAACAGCAACAGCAACAGCAACAGCAACAGCAACACCAACAACAACAACAACAACAACAACAACAACAACAACAACAACAACAACTCCACTCCACCCCCAATTGGCGAAGAAAGATAGTCTTCCCACATTTACCGATGTCAATCCTAGATCCCCAGACAACCCAAAGATAGTCTCCCTCACCCGTTTGTTCTTGTTCTTACTTACAAAAACCATGCTAAGCACTCAAACTCATCACCTCAGCCAACGGTTCCCACGGCCTCAGGAACTTTATGGCAGGGCAACGTGTGGTGGAAACGGCCACAAAGCCCAAGAAGAAATCGCCTCGTGACATGCCCAGCCCGGAGGGGTCGAAGGGATATCCAGACACCACGCGGTCTCCCCCGAATGGACTGGAGGAGGTCCGACCCAGTCGCACTGGGTCAGGGGCTGTTTCGCACCTATCCCGATCGTTTTGGAGGGAGGTTTCACGGAGTCGGGCGTCGTGAAACACGGAGCGTTTGCAAATTTGGGTACCCCCATTGATCCCCATTTTAGAACTCATTTTTTTGGGGGATGTGGTGAATTGTGAATTGGAACGGACCCTTCAGAGTGCAAGAGAGTGAAACGGGACGTCCACACAAGCATTTGTTCAAGACCTGATGTAGATTCTCGGCAATGGTCGTCGGACAGCCTCGAAACTTTCAACCTCAGGCATAGACGTGGACCCTAGCTTTCAATGACCGCTTTTTGAATTGTTGACCAGGGTTTTGGAGTGTAAATTTAGTAAAACAATGGTTGTTCGGGAAGGTTCTCAGATTTTGAGAGTTGTTCGAATCCATTCGAACCCAACAGAGTTAGGTAGGTCAGTCGCGTACCAAGTCTAGACCTACTGCCGCATGGTGGTGTCATTGGCATCGATGCGGTCGATTGCAATCATGGCCCTATAGAGGTGAATGGGTGCGGGTGCATGTCTATATGCCTTATGAAGCACCCCTATTCTAGGGGCCCTGGCTGATATCTAACCTACAAGTGCTGGACACCTAGATGATTGTCGATTGGCCATGGTCCTGTGACCATCCATCGTTTGTTTTCATTCACTCCTGTGGATTCACCGGCAACAGCCTTTGGGGCTACTGGAGATGTCCTCCCCATTCCCCCCCACTTTCACCATGACTTCAGTGGTGGGGCACGCGTGAACTGCACGTTGACGACTCACGACGGCCACTCGGAAGCGCCGGCGGAAGCCGCCCCGCCACGGTGACCCTGCCCAGTGGACTTCGACGATTTGGCGGGCTTTGACGACGCCTCGGATTCCACCTCTGATGAGGAGACAAAACGTTTTGACATATGGCTGTGGATCATGACACCAGGAGACCGACCGGTTGACCTAGCTGGTGTCGGTCGTTCCCGGCAAATGGTGGACTGGTCCAGGTTTTGACCCATCCCCATAAGGGAACAGTCTGAGTCAAACTGCTCTCCAAAGTGCTTCGAAGCCGGAGGGAGGGCTGGGGCCCTTGTGCACCGCCCTTGGGCAGACGGCCAGGTGTCGGGTGTCCAACCACCCAGTGACCTGGACGAAGCGGTGACAAGCGGTTTGACTCTCTTCTACCCGAATAGAGTTGAAATGGTCGTGGATGATGACTACCAGGTGGAGCTAAATACTTGTTTGATGGTAGCAACCAACTTGAAACACCGCACGAGGTGTGCTTCAAACAAACGAAAGGATCTCGAGGAATGCCGCGCCCTTTTCGCGGCCAGCGCAGCCGGTGCTCATGGCGTCATGACGAAGCCCACCCGATCTTCCAAGGGGCGGTTTGTGCCAAAGGAGGCACCAGTGGAAAAGGTGCATGGTTTTCATGCTTGCGAACCTGACGAGTCGGCAATGTGCGGGTGCACATTCACACCGGTGGAAGGGAGTGCTGGTTCGGAAGAACTGCCCTCATCTGGAAAAGTTTCCAGATTTCCTGCCATCAGACCTTCTTCGTCCGATGGAGTGGACATCAAAAGTCGTCCAAGGCGCATGGCGCGCACTTTGCAGGGCCGCAGGCGGTGAACCACATTTGCAGTTCTGTTGCTTGCGCATGCTTGGTCAGCGTGCCAGCACTCGCCCTGCTCGGTCCTGAACATGTCACCGTTCAGGGCCTCCATGAACATGTTCTTTGCTCTTTGCTTGATCTCACCCAGGTACATCTTGCGGATGCGCATCACGTTCTCCTCGTAGAGGTGTCGTTGATCTCTGAGTCTCTTTTCTGCTTGGCCCTTGATGGACTTGCAGAGGTTGTTGACTCTGATGACCTGGTTTCGAAGGCGTTCATTTTCTTCTTCGAGGATCTTTTCTCGCCTTCAGAGCTGCACCAGCGTGAGGAGTGGTCTGTCCTCGTTCGTCTGGGCATAGTTGTCGGTGGTGTCATTCTTGCTCGGTGTTGCCGTAGGTGGTGGCAAGGACCTGCTTCTCGTCCAGGTGGTAGTCAGGAGGTGCCAGATCAAATTGGCCACTAGAGCAATTGCCAGGGTGAAGAGGATGAGGAACATAAAGTTGTCGTTGTTCATGTTGTCGGTGTGGCTTGTGTTGTTGTTGTCTGTGTGGAGTGCCATTGTTGTTGTTGTCATTGAAGCCATCATTGCCATTTGTGTTGCCTTCTTCGGTATGGCATATCTCATCTGGCTCTGCTTTCGCTGCTGCAGTGTTTTCTTCTTTGATGCTGTGAAGTTCGGGTCTGGCCTCAGGCATGTGACGTGTGTTCGTAGTCGTTGAGCTAGTAAGCTCGCTGCTGTGTTCTTTGTCATGCCATCTGCATATTGTAGCTCGCTTGAGACCCAGGAGGTTGTTGCTCCTGTGCATGCTAGCTTGTCACGGGTCACTAAGACCTCTATGCTTGTTTGCTTGTCTGTCTGTGATGCCGTCTGTAGGTCCTGCTTGGTGAGCAGGTCGTACAATGCCTTTGCGTCCACGATCAGCCGTGGACTGTGTGCCAACTTGGGTGTGTGGCTGTCTTCCAAGGCAAGGTGTGGTGACCAAATCAACTTCCAGAAGACTGCTGCGTAGAGGAGGGCATCTGAGGCTTCTGATGCCGCCTGACTCTCTGCTGCCAGGCTTGACCGGGCGACGCGTGGAAGCTTCCAGCTTCTCCAGTCCACGAGGTGGTAGCCGCCTTCTTGACCTGTCGTGACTGAGTGGTGCACGAGGAGGATCAACTGGCCTCCCTGTGAGGTCAGGTCATGTCTGCTGGCGAAGGCTGCATCACTGTAGGCGATCAAAGTGAGGTCTTCTGGCTTTCCAATCCTTTGGAACTTGAGGCCAACATCGCTGTGCTGCTTTGCGAACCTCAGGCATTTGTTTGCCTCACGGAGGGTGGATGTAGTGGCTTTGCTCGTGAGTCCAGCCAGTTGGCTGACAGAGGCTTGGAGATGTGGGCTGCTTTGGGTTGCAGGCCATTGCAATGCCCCAACTAGGCCTCTGAGCATTGTTCTCTGTTTCTCCGTGACAGGTTGGTCGCTGTTGGCGTTGTTGTTGGTGTCCTCAAAGGATATGGGCTTTTGCTTTGCCAAGTAGCTTGTGTGCTGCAGTTCGTAGTGGTGTTGGTTGATCCGTTGGATCTTGGCGCCGCAATACTCTATGTCAGAGTCCTGCTCCCATGTCCGGAAGGTGAAGGTTTGCTTCATCTGGCTGACAAACTTTTGGAAGCTGGCGTTGTCCATGTTTCCACAGCCTAGGATGTCATCCACGTGGAGGCCAAAGAGTCCCAGGAGTGGTGGCTGTCGGACAGTGTTGCCATTGTCATCAGGCCGGTCCAGCCACTGGTCTTCCGAGGCGTCATAGTCATAGACCATGAACAGGCAGGGGTCCAGAGGGTGGACCACAGCACCGAGTCGTGTGACTCGTTCACGAGCCTCGCTGTACCAGGCTCTTGGAGCGTCGCAGAGCCCGTACATTGGTTTTCTCAGCTTCATCAGGGCTTTGTCTCCGTCTTGGTCGGTGATGCCCAGCATCTTCTTTGCATCTGTTGGGAGCTTGATCCACAGGGTTCTGTGGCTTGGGTGCTCCTTTCCTTGTAGGAAGGCTGTCGAGACATCTGCTGAAAAGGTGCTCCAGCCAGTGTTGGCAGCTAGGGACATAATGTAGTTGCGTCCCATTCTAGAGAGTGTGGGAGCATCAGTGCTCAGTTGTCCGCTCCAGGCATCCGGATCTCTGAAGCCTTGGGTGATGAGCCTGGCCTTGGCTCTGGGATCACCATTGGGCCACTTGGACCACTTCAAAATGAAGTGTGCCTTGAGGATGCGGTCTGGAGGAATGCTGCCATCATCATAGACCAGTTCCCAGACGTCGTTTTGGAAGAAGCTTTCCAGCTCTTTGCGTTTTGCCGTGAGGAATGCTAGCCTGTCTTCAAGGCTCATGTTGCGCTCACTGAGCTGGTCTTTTCTGGCCTTCATGTTCTTGGGTCGTGGTGGTTGTTGTGCATTGTAGGCTTGTTCAGCCGCTTCTGTCTCCTTGTAGGACTGGTGTCCGTTGCTGATGTTGTAGAAGATCTGCCGTGCTAAATGTCGGTAGGCAGGCATGATCTTAAAGATCGTGGATCCTGTCCAGGCTTGTTGTCTGTATGTGTTCTTCTTTTGTTTCCATCTGTCGTACTGATTCAGGTTATCGCTGCCCAGTGTGTGGCGGTCTTTGCTCAGGTAGTGCAGGGGAAGGGGACATCCTGCATCTTGTTCTGTTGGCTCGAAGTAGTGGTTCCTGGGCAAATAGTGTCGTCGAATCAGTTTGTCATCTTTGAGGATCCACTCGTCCCTCGTGTCTTCAAGGGTGAGGTAGCCATTTTCCAGGCGCCAGCCTGGGGGCAGTGTGGAGACGTCGGCCTTGGCCATGTCAGCATCATAGGTTGACTGTAGGAGTGCCATCTCAGGGTCTGGTGCTGGAGGCTTGTTGTAAGGACTTGAGGTTGACCTTCTGTCTTCAAAGACTTCTCTGTTCGGGCGATATCTGATTCGGCCAGTGGCGCTTGGGGTGTAGAAAGACAAGGTTTCTTGTCGATCAACTCGTGCCCTCTGTTGTTGGAATGTCTCTCTGGTCTCAGGTGCACGGTACAGTGCCTGTTGGTGTTCCGGCACTGGTGCAGTGATCTCTTGTTCGATCACACTTGGTGGTGGCTCTGGTTCTTCACCAATGCTGGATGCCGGAGGTCGTGTTGTGTCTGCAGCCATTGGTGGTGATTCAGGTGCCTGTCCGCTGTTGTCAGCTCCTGTTGTGTTTGTGCCGTCTTGTTGACTGGCATCTGGGGCGTTTGTCATAGGATCTTGATCCATTGGCTGTTGCTCACCTGTTGCGTCGCCAATCGGTGGAGTGGTCATCGCAGGGGCTGGTTGCCGCCGGTCTGTCCGCAGGATGAAGGTTGTAGTTCCAGTCCAGTGGAATGGCATGCCTCTGCTGGCGTTTGGAAGTCGCCAGTCATCTCGCATCACGGTGCGGTTGCTGTAGGGCTGATCTGGGCGTCGGATCGTGGTGGTTCTTGAATCTTGGAAGTCGCGCCATGGGGCGTGTTCATCGGTTGTGGGTACATAAAGTGTCTGCCGTGGTCGAACGTGGACGCGTGTCCAAGTGAGACCATCTTCATCGACGTCCCAGTGATCATCAGGCTCGGCTGGAGCTGGAGTGTCAGCGATGGCGTCAGCCATTGGTTCCATGATGTCATCTTCATCTTCGGTGACCACTTCAGCGCGCTTGCGCTTGTTTGTTTTGGTGAGGTCCGTGTATAGTGTGGTGCTGCGGCCACGAATCTGGTCCAATGCTTGCTTGGCTCTTCGTGTTGGCTCTGTCTCGTCATTGTGGTTGAGGTCTGGTCGCAAGTGTTCACTGGACACTCTGAGGAGTGTGGTGCCATGTGCGACCCAGTAGGTGTTGGTTGTTGGTCCTGTGCGACCGGGTTCTGTCATCACCACAACTGCAGGGCCTTTCCATCGAAGTTTGGGTCCTGCTCCACCTGGTGCGTCTCTCCAATAGTAGACGCGTTGGCCGGTGGATATAGTGGTACTGGATGGCCTGATGCTGTCGCAGCAAGGCGCGTCGCAGTCGGGCATCATTGTCGGCCTCGATCACGGCGATAGCCGCTTGCTTCTGGAGGTGCAGCTTCTGTTCCATGGCTTCACTTGGTGTCAACTGGGCGGTCGTGAGGTCGTGGTCCATGAGAACTCCTGGTATGCGAGGCTGCATACCCATGGCCCATTGTGTGGCACTGAAGCCTTGCACATTTGAAGTGTTGTTGATCTGGGGCACAACATAGCAGAGAGAGCGGGCAATCTGGTCTTGGATGGTCATGTTGACCTCGGGTTGAT